TGAGGTCTACCGTGATCCCCCTAGTTATAATCTCCCCTATTCCTCATCCCCTTTACTATGCTATAGTTTTGCTTCAATAGCATTAATCATCTTCTAATATATTATATTAGGTACTTGTCATTTTATTTTATTTTTAAAATCTATTTATTTTTATTTATTTTTGGCTGCGTTGGGTCTTGGTTGCTACACGTGGGCTTTCTGTAGTTTCGGCGAGCAGGGGCTACTCTTCTTTGTGGTGCGAGGGCTTCTCATTGCAGTGGCTTCTCTTGTTGCAGAGCACGGGCTCTAGGCGCACGGGCTTCAGTAGTTGGGGCACACGGGCTCCCGTAGTTGTGGCGCACGGGCTTAGTTGTTCTGCGACATGTGGGATCCTCCTGGACCAGGGCACGAACCCGTGTCCCCTGCGTTGGCAAGCGGATTCTTAACCACTGCGCCACCAGGGAAGCCCTGTACCTGTCATTTTAAATATGTCTTCCCTCACTTGAATTTAATCTCCAGTAGGATTTTTTGTCTGTTTTATTCAGTCATGTATCCCCAGCATCTAAAACAATACCAGGCACAGAGTAGGCAATCCATAAATATTTGCTGAATGAACAAATGAAGGATAAAAGAAGAATTAACTAAGCAAAAGGACTGTACTGCCATTTAAGGAAAGTCAAGCCCTCTATTTTAAATGCCAAACTCCTCATAACAACTAATTACTTGATACCACCACTTAAATGTTTAAAGAGGTAAAAAAAAAAAAACCTCTTCCAAATGTTTCTTCTCCATTTCAGCAAATGGCCCCACTACCTACCTAAGTGAACAAACCTGAAACATAAGTTAGCCTTGATTGACCCTCTCACCCCCCCATATCCAATCCATCAAGAAGTCCCATCATTTTTAACACAAAAATTCAGCTCAAATTCATTCACTTCTCTTTATCTCCACTGTTAGGACTCTAGTCCAAGCCATCACAGTCTCTCACCTGTACTATTCTGATAGCCTCCTACCTGTTCTCTCTGCTTTATTTTCTTGCCTTCTTTAACCCATTTCCTAAATAGCAGCAAAAGTGTTCCTAAAAATGTAAACAGGATCATAATATTCCTTTGCTTAAGATCTCAAAATCTCACAGACCATGGTCTGCGAATGATTTGGCTCCCGTCCATACCTCAGCTCCCTCTGTGCCGCTCCACCCCTTGCTCATTATGCTACATCCACAAAGCTCTGTTTTCAGTCCCTCCGATATGTCCTCTTCTTTGTATATGCCATTATCACTTCCTTCCCTGCTGCATCCTTCATATCTCAGCAAAAAAGGTCGTCTTCTGTTTAAAGTAGATCTCCCCCTCTTACTCTGTATCTCATTCCTCATTTCCTTCATAACTGTTTTTTTTTCTTCCCCATCACAGTATAAGCTCCATGAGGGTAGGGGTCACCTACCCTCATGTAAAAGGGAGGAGGCGGTAACTCACGTAACTCCGAAATGTCGGAGAAGTACTGTAGGTCTCTCTCAACTGTAAGAGCTGTCATTCCAGCACTCATCACCACCATACTCCCTCCAGATGCTCCCTCCTTCTATCATTTCAAAAGGAATGCAAGACAAGGTTTCATTGGCAAATCACATTAATTCCAACTGCTATGGACTGAATTCTGTCCTCCCAAAATTCATATGTTGAAGTCCTTATCTCAGTGTGATGGCATATGGAGAACGGGAGCTTTGGGAGATAATTAGGTTTAGATACTCTTATAAAAAGAGGAAGAGATACCAGAACTCACTCTTTGCCATGTAAGGACACAGCAAGCTCACTAGCTCTCTGAAAGCCAGGAATAGAGCCTTCACCAGCACCCTGATCTCAGACTCCTAGCCTCCAGAATTGTGAGAAATAAGTTTCTGTTGTTAAATCCCCCCAGACTTTGGTATTTTGTTATGGCAGCCTATGCTAAGACACCAACCAAAATGAGATGCTCCAGTCTCATCTGTAATAAAACCAAATACACATGTAAAAAGATACCTGATACAGTAGCATTCTTTATCAAGATTCTGCTCTTAAGCCAAACTGTTCCACTGTTTTTTGATGCTCTTTTCCAAAGAGCTACACTTTTGAAGACTGAGCACTGTTAAAACTATCACCCTAGGCTTCCCTGGTGGCGCAGTGATTGAGAGTCCTCCTGCCGATGCAGGGGACACGGGTTCGTGCCCCGGTCCGGGAAGATCCCACATGCCGTGGAGCGGCTGGGCCTGTGAGCCATGGCCACTGATCCTGCACGTCCGGAGCCTGTGCTCCGCAACAGGAGAGGCCACAACAGTGAGAGGCCCGTGTACCACAAAACAAAAAACAAAAAACAAAAAAAAACTATCACCCTAGATACCCATCACTTGCAAATACTCAAATGCTAGAAGACGTCACATCTGGTACCAAAGGGTGGGGGTAGCACCCTTCCCTCAGCTACCATCTAACTTAGCCACCACCATGCACTGAAAACGGGTGAGTCAGGCACACCAAGACATACCAACAACTGTGTTTTATTCAGAAAGACTCACTGATGTTTCAGTTAGGAAGTAATTTTGGTTGCGACTCATGACAGCGTATAGAAACATTTCCCCAGGCAATCTTCCCATGGGATTTCTGCCTAAATGAGAATCTCATAGGACTCTTTATTAAATTAGTGGGTTTTTTTTTTAAAGTAGACATTCAAGAAGCTCAGTTTCCACCCCTCTAAAACTAGGCTCTAATTGTAGATTAGAGGGAAGCAGAAACTAGATTCTTTGAGACATTTTGTTAGAAAATTACTTTTAAACATTCAGGAGCTAATATATTTTATAAAAGGGAACAGTCTAACATTGTTTTTTTTTTTTTTAATGGCGATTTTTTTCTTTATTGAGAAACTTAAGACTTGGGTAACATTGTATTTTTAAAAAATTCAGATCCCTGGGACTTCCCTGGTGGTGCAGTGGTTAAGAAGCCATCTTGCAGTGCAGGGGACGCTGTTTCGATCCCTGGTGGGGGAACTAAGATCCCACATGCCGCAGGCCTACTAAGCCCGTGCCGCAACTAGAGAGACTGTGCACTCACTCTGGAGCCTGCACAACCACAACTAGAGAGAAGCCTGCGCGCCACAACTAGAGAGAAGCCTGTGCACCACAACGAAGATACTGCACCGCAATGAAAAGATCCCACGTGCTGCAACTAAGACCCGACCCAGCTAAAAAAATAATAATAATAAAAAAAATTCAGATCCATTGTAGAATCTGAATTACAAAGTCAGTTATTTCTCTGATACTTCTACCTTGGAGATTTCAAAGCATTGCCTTTAAACTTAGTAGTTAACAACAACAACAACAAAACATCCCATGTCTATCTTATAGGGAGAAATAAGGAAAAATAAGCAAAGTAGATGCCAACAGGCTATGAAGGTCCAGAGCTCCACGTCTACAAGAAAGAGCAACACCCATGCCAAAGGCATAAAGCTTAGTTACGAAACAGAGAAAGGCAGTATTTGTATTTTGTGAGTGGAACATCAAAGCTACTCTGAAATGGGGCCTGGACAACAAGTACAATGGCAGTAGGATGTTTAAGCCAATAAGATCCTCTGCATTTTAGAATCTGTGATTCTAGATTTTAATCAATACTGCATTAAGTACAATAAAGGACAAAGTGCTAGAAAAGGAAATGCTCCAAAGTACAAAATTCTGAAGCCTCTAAAATAATACTAATCTTCAAAAAATTTTAATGATTAACATCTCTTTATCTTTCCAATAATTTAAAAGAATTTCATCTGTACAAAACCCAGCCCCACTTGTGACTATCCACTGTCAGTATGCTCCTCCGTCCTATATTTGCCTATTGCAGAGGAAAGAAACAGAACTTACAGCTTTGGGGAAGCAAAATGTAGCTTCTTCTCATGAAATGATTTTAAGCCCCTGGCCTAGACATTCACAGCAGTCATTACAGAAATAAACGAAACATAAACCAGCTTTCCCGACCCATTTAAAAGCAGAATCTTCTGCTCCTCCTCCATATTTCTCCCAGAAAGATATGGTAACTTGTTCATAGTTACATGGAGAATTGGTGATTTTGCCAGGAAATGAAACTCATGTCTCCTCACTCTTAGTCCAGTGACCTTTCTAATACACCATGTTGTCTTCCATTTAGTAATCAAAGTAAATCAAGACCTAAATAAGTATGGAATCTGCCCAAGGGATACCCAAGTCTCCTTAGTCCTAGAGTGAATTCCAACCTTGAAAAGCCAATGAAGAATGTTTGGGAAGAGCTTGCCAACAAATCTAGCAGAATACTTTATACTCAGTGGACTCTATTCCTCCACCACACCAGCCCCTCCAATCTCATAACTGTGCCTTTTCAAACTGTCCCGCCTCATGAGTGCAAAAACAATTTGTGTGTGTGTGTGTGTGTGTGTGTGTGTGTGTGTGTGTGTGTGTGTGTGTGTGTTTCTTCCCCAAGAAAGATTAGGTCAAAAGAGAAAATAATCTAGTTTCTTTCTGCCAGAATTGTGGCATAGTGGGACTGTGCAGGAATGTACCTACTGTGGAATCTTCCCACACTCCTGAGTTGTTAAAAGTAACCAGCAGAGGCATGTTCCATACACTCCCCAAATACCTGAGCTGGCAACAACAAGATATTCAGACATCTTAGCCCTGGGACAATAGCTTCTGTCAGTTAACTACAGTTCTCACGACTGTGCTTCTTCTGCTCTTACTTCAACTTCATACCAAAGAACATATCACACCTGTACAAGTACTTCAGAAAACCACACAAATGAATTCACACAGTAGTATAGCAATTTTGGCAGGGTACCAATACTAATGATAAAGTATAATTAAAAAAAAATTCAAAGACCTTACACAAGCATATTACTCTTAGCATTTACAAGCAGATTTGACAAAGGATCTGGGGCCCCAATAATCTGTTCTTGAGACCAACACCTAAAGGATCAGGTAGAGTTTCCACACAAAGGGGGTTACCTGATAAGGAAGCAAAGATCAGCATTTTCTCTCTTACCTGAAGCCAAAGGTCGGATCCACTCTTTGCTATTTAGGTCAAGTCTCCAGAGGTCATTGAAGGCAGCATTGCAGCTGCTTTGGGTACAGCCTCCAAACACATACATAGACTGATTAGCATCATAATAGCACGCACCTAGAAAGAAAACAATAAATGAATAACTGATGTCTAATTCTGAAGCCACTCTAAACCTTAACTATAGCCCATATCTTTCAAAGATCAATTACTTCACACATTCCGCAGTTGTTCCCAGGTATCAACCGTTCTATAACCAGCCTCCTGTCTTCAGGTTGATCAATATCACATTAACCTTTAAAATAAGGACCAGAGAAAAGCTATGGAAACGTTATGTTATTTCTGAGCACACTAAGCAAACTGACAATGATATCATTAAATAAGACAATATAATTCTAGCAAGAGAACACAAGAATTCAGACTAAGGGTGTTCAATGAGTGAAATTTCAGCACAGCTGCATCATTAATCTAAATCTGCATTATTATCATCTAGGGCTAGGAGAAGATAGTCAGTGCTAACAGAAGTACTCTGTCCTCCCATTCCTCTCCACCTGTCCTCCTCTTATTGCTTTTGCTTTCAAATGAAACATGAGGCACAAAACAATAACAAGACTTTATATGGAAGAGAATGACAGAAAACAATTTTAAGAACCTGCTGTATGTATAAATAAATAAATAAAATTTAAAATTTCAAAAGAAAAGAAAACAATTTTAATCAATGCCATAAAGTAACCACACATACAGAACCAATGTAGCTCAGCGATCTCAGAGGTAGTATGGTCCCCAAACAACTGAGAGAAAAAACATGAAAGTCATTAAGCTCCTAGGTGTGTATCCAAAAGCCACCAAGGCCGACTGGTTGGTGCTGAATAGAAAACCAATGCAGTAGGTAACAGTTAAAAAGCACCAAGGTCTCCAAGAAAAGCCTTTTTAATTAGGTGACTATATACACCTCACCAATGGGCACTATTCTGAAGAAAAGAGTCAATGACTGAGAGAGGGGCTGTTCCCGTAAAACCAGAAAGACCAGAGCCAGAGTCTAGACAAGAAACATGAAAGCTAAGCGCTGCCACCTTGCTTCTCATTGGAAAGTTCATTTAGCCTCTGTCCTTTGGAAAAGATGACCATGCGCTCCTTCCAGTCCTGCATTTACCATCTTGTATTTCAGGAAAAGGGCTGAGCAAAACTTCATTCATTTCATGCATACCACTGGGAAAAACAGACCTCTCAATGTGAAACTAGGCTAAAACAGTTAAGCGTCACATAAAAGAAAAGGGAAAGGGAAAAGAAATTCAGAGATTCAACCCACTAGTGCGTGGCTTCAGTGATCATCCAGTTTACCTGTAGGTCTTGTTCAGTTTAGCACACCACCGTTTCTAAGATCTCTTCTGAACTCTGGCACCACTTATTCAAGTTCAGAAAAAGGGAAACACCACCGCTATAATTACCTCTGTGATATATACTAGCTCTGGGAATAACCCTCCTTTTTTATTTTTTCTTAACTCAGCCCACTTGATATGCCTTTAAGGACTCTACACTAAGAAAGCCAAGTCCAAAAATTGGATGAGTTAAGAGATAATAAAAGCAATGTGTTCAGTCACACCCAGTAATCTCAGCCAGTGGAAGGCGTAAATCCAAAACATCTGGGACTTTACTGGGGGCACAGTGGTTAAGAATCTGCCTGCCAATGCAGGGGACACGGTTTGATCCCTGGTCCAGGAAGTTCGCACATGCGGCAGAGCAACTAAGCCCGTGCGCCACAACTACTGAGCCTGAGTTCTAGAACCTCTGAGCCACAACTACTGAAACCGTGTACCTAGAGCCCGTGCTCTGCAACAAGAGAAGCCACCGTAATGAGAAGCCTGCACACCGCAATGAAGAGTAGTCACTGCTCGCCACAACTGGAGAAAGCCAGCGCACAGCAACAAAGACCCAAAGCAGCCAAAAATAAATAAATAAATAAAATTAAAAAAAAAAAATCTGACCTCTGATGCTGTGCAATAACAGAGCTACAGACTTTTCAAATTAACAAAGAAATTAAAGAAACTAGAGATGTGAAGAAATGAAATACCATTTAATCATCAACAGGCTCACATCTGCAAAATACTTAATTACTCCCAGAACTCAAACATGCTACAATGGTATATGAAGGTTTAAATGATCTTACACTTTCCACTGACTTTCTTCCTTTTTTTTTTTTTTTTGGCTGTGCCCTGAGGTTTGCGGGATCTTAGTTCCCTGACCAGGGATCGAACTCGGGCCCCCACAGTGAAAGCGCCGAGTCCTAACTACTGGACTGCCAGGTAATTCCCCCATCCCCTTTTTTATTCCTACTGACTTTCTTTGCCTTTGAAAATAACTTCTAATCCATATCTAAATCAGTTTTTTAATTAACATCCCAATAAGAAAGTCTATTAAGAAGTAAAATCCTGGGAATTCCCTGGCAGTCCGGTGGTTAGGACTCTGTGCTTTCACTGCCAGGGCCCAAGTTCCATCATGCAAGCAGCGTGGCCCAAAGGAAAAAGAAGAAGAAAAAAAAATAAGTAAAACCCTATGTAAGTCCACTGCTCATGTTTCAGGTTTGTTGAGAACCGCAAATAACAAAGGATCAAGTTAGATGACATTAAACAAACAAAAAGGATAATTACTGAAGCCACACTTTAATCTCCACTAAAGGGGGCAAGCTTCAGGTATCTTGGTCTTCTCATACATACCTTTTTGAACTAGCTACTCCAACAAACTGGGGCAATTATGAATTGAACTGACTGGTGCCTGGCATAAAAGAACGTTCTCTTCCACCTGATAATCCATAACCCCAGAACAGAAATTAGCAATATCCTCTGGCTTCTGAAACCTTAACTGATCTTCATCGTAACAATGTTTAATAAGACAAATCCATGATTTCATAACTAAAAGAGTCAGTAGCTCATTTATGTCCCACTATCCCTCAAAGATCAACTCTGGGCAGCTGCTTCCTTCGTGCAGCAAAAAAGCACAGCGCCTTTATTTTTCAAAGAGGTAGCAAACATTCTTCTTCTCTATTTGGACTGAAAACCTAGCCAGCAGCTGGGCCCCATGAGGTCCTTACCACGTGTATTTTAATGCTATACTAAAATAAGGCAACTGGCATTTTCCTGCTTCTCTTTGAGCAAACAAAGGTTTCTGGAAGAGGAAGGTACAGCCCAAACCCTATGCAAAGCTAATGCGACTGAAACGACAAGTTTCACACACTGTAGTTTCAATATCCAGCAGTCATTATCAACAAAGCTTGGAGAGGAAGGGAGTCAATTTAGGCAGCTATGTTTAGAACTCAGATATAATGGGAATGAGAAACAGCCATCAATAATACACTCAAATATTTTAAGCATCCTACTGAACTCTGTTTGCCTATTTTTATTTAAGATGCGTACATGTTGGTCTGGGTGGGGGTTGGGGACCCAAGTTCAATAAGCCTTTCAGAAAAAATTAAGAATTTAAGCAAATACCACTGCTCAAGTAAATACTTCCTTTTACCAAAGTTCTCCACCCAAACAGAACATTCTCCTTTCAGAACATCTAGACCACTGGAATGTGCTATACAAAAGTTACCATTTGTAGTACGGTATGACTGCTCTGCTAAGAAATAACATTGAGAACGTGATTATTCCAACTGCTAGATCTCTTCAAGCTTTCTGAAATGTGCTTGACTGCTCCACAAATAACTATTGCAAGTCACATACCTCAAGTTAAAATCTAATAATCCCTACTCGAAGACAAGTCAAATATGCACAATTACACTCATGACAAGCAAAGAGTTCCTCAGTGTTCTGAATACTTTTCCTACTGTATTATAATCCTCTGAAGTTCAAGGTCTTCCAGTTGTTTCATATTTTCCATGGTGCCTGGTAGTCACCAGATTAATGTTCACTGAACTCTAATTTTTGCACTTTCAGAGGTTAAATTCTCTTGTTCCCTCACTTGTCTCCAGGGAAAGGTCCTGAGGCATTTATCCCATGCTTAGAGACTATGCTGTCATGTGTCTCACATCTACAAGCCAGGACATACTTGATAAGGCCTGTAATTATGTAACTATGGAATAAGAAAGGTTGGTTATCCAGTCTGGGCCTGCTGGCTATTGCAGGAGCAAGATTAGCAAGTGTATGGAATGACCTGACCATATTTGGAGCCTAAACACTAAAAGGTTTTTCAAAACATAATCCTGGGGATTCAACAGACCCCTATGTCAATCTGAAAGGGACATTCTACCTTAATCAAGGATTGCATGATTGGCCATGAACATACTCATCAAATAACCAGGAGAACTGGCTTCATTTTATTTTCCCAGCATTTTTTTGTCCCAGACTTCTACATAAGAAAGAAGCTCTATCACTCGTATCTTTGTTACACAATTCCACAGAATTAATAGATGTCAACTATGAACCTGGTGTTATGAAAGGTGCACAGATGTCTAAGACATGGAGCCTGACTGTCCTCAAGTAGACAACAATCTTGTGGAGGAGACATCATCATCGTCCTATAATTTTGCAGGTTAAAATATATTTTTGCAAGTGTTTCCTCAATTAAATTTCCTAGCAACCCTGTGGCACAAACAGAATTTATCATACGCATTTTACAGATGAGGAAATTGTGGGTTAGAGGAGCCAAGGAATTTGCTTCCCAAGTCTAAAGTTCTTCCTTTGCATGCAGCCTCTCTTACACAGGTAATTATGGTAAAAGACAGATGGTAAAACATTAAGAAGAAGGTATGAAGAGTGTATTAAACAAGTATAAGCAGAAAAAGAGAAGAGCTTAATCTCCATGGTGGGGAATTTGAGAGTAGTGTGAAAGACGGTGGCTTTTGGCTTTGTCTCCAAGATGGGTTTTAGAGGTCAGGACATTTTCAATCAATTAACATGGGGCGAACAAGTCTAGGGGTGAAAGAGGAATGGGAGGGGAAGGGAAAATGAAATCAGGGCATCCAAACAAAGCCATGAGGTAGGGAAGTTGAAGACAAACAAGGAATCTCGTGTGGGCAGAGCCTGGCTGTGTAAGGATGCAGCAGTGAGTCAGGCTGAAAAGGTAGGCTTGGTGAATGCCAGGTGGGGTGGAAGCTTCTACATGCAGTGCAAAAAGGCTCAGGCTTTTTGGCAGAGGAGTGACAAGGCTGGTTTTATGGTTCAGATTTGCAGTTTTTCCCGACAGGAGCTCCTGTCATTTTGAGCAAGTCAATTCTTTGTGTGCAGGATCATCCCATTCACTGCATGACATTTAGCAACCCAAGTAGGTCCTTGCCTACTAACTGCGTGTAGTACTTTCCAGTCAAGACAATAAACAATGGCCTTACACATTTCCAGATGCCCTAGGAGGTGGCACTGTCCACAGTTTTGGAGATGGCTGCCAAGTGTCTACACCAGGTTCAGATGAAGAGAGAAGAAAGGCAAGAAGATTGTATAGAAAAGACTTAGGGGGACTTCCCTGGTGGTCCAGTGGTTAAAACTCCACGCTTCCACTGCAGGGGGTGCGGGTTCGATCCCTGGTTGGGGAACTAAGATCCCGCATGCCACGGCCAAAAAAAAAAAAAAAGAAAGAAAGAAAGAAAAGATTTAGGAAAGATGGAATGATTAAGTCATAAGTGTGAGTAATGGGGGGCGTGGTAAAAGGAAAGATATGAGAGAGATTGCAGAGATAGAACAGAATCAACAAGATTTGACTTTTGTTGTTGAGGGAGGGAGAAGAATTGAGGATTAATCCAAGATTTCAAGCTTGTATAATTGAGAGAATGATAATGCCATTAACTAAATTAAAGAGAGGAGAAAACTGGGGGGAAACTACTGAATTCTGCTTTTGGATCACTAAATGTGAAACATCTGTGAATCTCTGTGGCAGTATGAGCAAAGAACTGGAAATGTGGATCTCAAGCTCCACATGAGTTAGGCATAAGGAATAAAATAGAGCTAAAGGGAGAAATACAGAGATGGAAGTTGAAGGAGCTAAGGAAAAAAATTAAAGGAATGCTTGTTTTCAACCTATTTTGAAAACTGCCCATTCCCCGTAATAATCCTCTTCAGTTTGCCAGTTAGATAGCATGTAGAGACTGATGGAAGAAAACAATAAAGAGACAGACCGAAAGAGACAACGAAAGACAATGAGAAATCTTTTCTTGGATATCAAGTAAGGAAATGAAAATACCAAGTAAGGAAATGAAAAAAAAATTTAAGCAAAAACAAGTATCAAAACCCACCAACCCCTGAGCTTCTGTGAGCTTACTCATGGTACTATTCCTTTCTATTTCCCCTTCAAAGAACTGCCTCTATTTTGTGGTAATACTCTTTTTCGAAAGCTAGTTAGCTGAAAAATATTTTTTCCCCTCTCTTATCAGAAAGCCAAACTGTTGCTATGATAATTATTCACCCCTATTTCCTATTCTAGTTTCAATTTTACCCTGATTCATTTGATTTCCCTCTTAGGGTTCTAAAACTATTTGTTTCCAAACACCATTCTAATAAAACTCCTGTCTTTAGAAACCTCGTCTTTGCTTCTCATTCCAATCATCTGTAGGTAACTGAAGTTACCCCTCCCTCAACAATAAATACTGGACCTAATATGGATCCTCCTGTAATTTCATTAAATGTTCTCAGCAAGGACTCATGTATAGTTTATTGCAGTCATGATCAAAGTGTGGTCTGTGGACTCCTGAAAACATTTGAGACTCTCTCAAAACTACTTTTATAATAATAATAAGTACTAGTAGTAGTAGTAGTTGTAGAGGTAGTAATTTATTGTTTTTTTCACTGTGCTGACATGTGCACTAACGGTGCCAAGGCAATGCTGGGGAAAACTGCTGCAGCCTGTGCATGACTCAAGGTAAGGGAACTCAACTACTCTAGTGTCACTGTGCTCTTCACTACCACACACTCACAGATTAAAACAAATGAAGCCAGTTCTGACTTCACAGATCCCCCCAAGAGTCTCATAGATGCCTTCCTCCCCCAAAGTCCAGGAATCACACTTTGAGATCTACTGCTCCAGGGGATTTACAACAGCACAAAAATAGCTCCCTGAGAGAACTGAAAACACAGCAAATAGTTCGACCCATTCCTTTGATCTATTTAGATACAATTCAAAGACAATGACGAGTTATCATTATTTAATGATATGGATATGAGAGTACAGCATATGGTCTGGGGCAGTCAACCACCAAGAGGCCTCCAAGGATCCTCACTTCCTGGTATTACGCCCTTGGTCAATCCCTGTGTGACTTATAGGATAGAACAGAAAAGATGGTATTCACTTCAGAGATTAGGGTGTAAAAGATACCTTGGCTGCTGTCTTAGTGTCTGTCTCTGTTTCTCAGATCACTCATTTTGTGGAAAGTCAGCTGGCAAGTTGTGAGCAGCTCTGTGGAGAGGTCCATGTAGTAAGGAACTGAGTCTCCTATCAACAGTTACTGAGTGAGCTTGGAAGCAGATTCACCGGGCCCCAGTCAGGCCCTCAGGTGACTGTAGCCCCAGCTGACAGATTGACGGCAACCTCATGAGAGACCCTGAGCCACAACCTCCCAGCTAAGCCACTCCCAAATTCTTGACCCTCAGGAACACTGTGAGATAATGTTATTTTAAGCTGCTAAGTCTGCAGGTAATTTTTACACAACATGGATAACCAATAACTCTCCTTCCCCTCAAGAGTTCAAAATATGGCTTAAAAAAAAAAAAAAGACACAGACATACAAGTTAACAATGAAAGACAATGTGAGTTAAGCGCCAAATTAGTATTCCAGACATAAGCTCGGAACAGGAAAAATTTTTCTGTGGGCTAGAGAGTTGAGAAAAGGTTTCCCAAAGGAGCTAAAACTTCAACTGAGTTTTCAAGGAGAAGCCAGGCTTCAGCTAAGTGGATGGGAATACTCTAGAGAGGAAGAATCAAGTATAGCAAAGTGACAACTTGAAAGAGGAGAGCTCTTGGGAAAACTTGGGAGATGAAGTGGTAATTTAGAAATAAGTCAACTTAAAGAGGGTTTTAAATATAAGATTAAGTTTTTATCTTGTAGGCACTGGATAGACACTGAAGGTTTCTGTTTTTCTTTTTTTAAAATTAATTTATTTTTGGCTGCGTTGGGTCCTCGTTGCTGCACGTGGCCTTTCTCTAGTTGCAGCGAGCGGGGGCTACTCTTCATTACAGTGCATGGGCTTCTCATTGCAGTGGCTCCTCCTGTTGCAGAGCTTGGGCTGTGGGCGTGCGGGCTTCAGTAGTTGTGGCACACGGGCTCAGCAGCTGTGGCTCGCAGGCTCTAGAGCACAGTCTCAGTACCTGTGGCACACAGGCTTAGTTGCTCCGCGGCATGTGGGATCTTCCCGGACCAGGGATCAAACCCGTGTCCCCTGCATTAGCAGGCGGATTCTTAACCACTGCGCCACCAGGGAAGTCCTGAAGGTTTCTGAATACAGAAGTAATATAACTAAAGCAGCAATTCTGAGAACTTTCTAAGCGGCTTTCCTCTCCTGTCAATGAACTTTCTTTATGTAAAACCATTAATAAATACAGCTTTTGTGGCCTAAGATAGATCACATCTCAGTCTCACTTTGATGGAGGGATATAAATCACTAATAGAATAAAATGGTATCGGGAATTCCCTGGTGGCCCTGTGGTTAGAACTCGGTGCTCTCACTGCCAGGGCCTGGGTTGAACCCCTGGTGGGGGAGCTAAGATCCTGCAAGGCGTGGGGTGCAGCTGGAAAAAAAAAAATAGAAGAATAAAATGGCATCTACAAAAATCAATTAAAATGGAGAGTTAATTCTAGAAGAAGTTGGGGCTTCCCTTGGTGGCGCAGTGGTTAAGAATCCGCTTGCCAATGCTGGGGACACGGGTTCAAGCCCTGGCTCGGGAAGATCCCACATGCCGCAGAGCAACTAAGCCCGTGCACCACGACTACTAAGCCTGCACTCTAGAGCCCCTGAGCCACAACTGCTGAGCCGACGTACCACAACTGCTGAAGCCTGTGTGCCTAGAGGCTGTGCTCTGCAACAAGAGAAGCCCGCACACCACAACGAAGACCCAACGCAGCCAAAAATAAATAAATAAAATAAATTAATTTTTTTAAAAAATCCTAAAAAAAAAAAAAAATTCTAGAAGTCAAAAACTCTAAATTGTCTATTTGCCAAAACATTTTATTTATAATTTTACTATTTAAATTTGTATTTTATAAACAATATCCTTCATGTTCAAAATTTTTGTGTGACCCTAGTCAAATTCAGTGTTTGCTGAACATACACTACGTTAAGATAAAGAGTTATTGCAAAACTTAGTGCTAAGCTCTGGCTACTCCCTAAGCAGGATCCCAGAAAAACCCTCATGTATGCCTTTCCTTTGTTTGCCTCTTACATGATGTCAAATGTTTAAAAACCTAAGCATAACACCTTGACCTCTTTGGAGTAGAGATAGTACAAAAATCCAATGAAAAAGCAGAATACAAAATTATATCACAGTGCCTACAATATATTTAGGCTCATGCTCTTCCCTAATTCTGATTGTAAAATTAATACAAACCCTTATTTAACATTTTTTTCATTAAGAAGTCAGACAAAATACAAGCCTCCAAAGTAGCTTTTGGAAACACGACCACAGGCAGGATGGGATCTGCTTTCACAGTAAATACTTACTGTGTGAGAACCGCTGAGTGATTGGGGTTCCAGGATAAGGGTAAGTCCGACTCTCCCACTGAATGTTTCCTTCCTGGACAGCCTTTATGAAACCATGATAACACTGGTGGGCTACACCTAAAGACAAAAATAACAAAAGCTTCAGCCTGGACTCTTCGCTTGTAAATCAAATTATTAAAACTGCATCTATTAATTGTCTTATCACTTTTATAAGACATAAGTTTCTTTGAGGAACTCCAAATTTCTTTGATTTTTTCATTCAAAGACAGAAAACAGAATCACAGAATTTCAAAACTGGAAGATCTAATCCTTTCATTTTACCAAGGTTAAGTGACTCCCTCAAGGTTACAAAATCAGCTCACACTTAAAATCTGCTCCCCTTTACATCATATCATGAGGCAACACATCAAAATAATTGGTGCTATTTACTCCAAAGCAAAGGGGCTGGGAGATAATTTAGTTTTATGAGAAAAAGCGTGGTAAAACAGTCTCCGGAATATAACAGCTGTTCAGTAAATATCTATGGTTAGACCATGGCAACCAAGTATTCTCCATCTTAAACAAGGAGTAATAATAAGCTTACAGTGGATTATGAAATGATGAATTTATAACAAAGGAAAGCTGTTTTTTTTTAAAAAAAAATCAGAGTTTTTACTATAATGCTGGATACATGTCATTATATATATGTCCAAGCTCACAGAATGTACACCCTATGTAAACTACAGACTTTGGGTGACAAAGATGTATCAATGTATGAGCGTCAATTGTAAGAAATGTACCCCTTTGGTGAGGGATGTTGAAAGTAGGGGAGGCTGTGCATGTCTGGGGACAGGGGTATACGGGAAACCTACGAACCTGCTCAGTTTTGCTGTGAACTTAAAACCACTCTAAAAAAGTAAAGTCTATTTTTAAAAAAGTGAGAGCTTTATATTTCTGGAACAATCTGCTTTCCCAACACATGAAATTACTTTCTTATTTCAAAGAGAAACATTTTGAATGAAGAGTACAACCAATTTTTAATTTTTATATATATATATATATATATATATATATAAATTTTTAAATAAATTTATTTATTTATTTTTAGCTGTGTTAGGTCTTCATTGTTGCGTGTGGGCTTTCTCTAGTTGTGGTGAGCAGGGGCTACTCTTCGTTGCGGTGCAAGGGCTCTAGGCGCGTGGGCTTCAGTAATTGTGGCACGTGGGCTCAGTAGTTGTGGCTCGCGGGCTCTAGAGCGCAGGCTCAGTAGTTGTGGTGCACGGACTTAGTTGCTCCGCGCCGTGTGGGATCTTCCCGGACCAGGGTTCGAATCCGTGTCCCCTGCATTGGCAGGCAGATTCTTAACCACTGCGCCACCAGGGAAGCCCCAATTATTTATATTTTGAAAGAGTGTATCATTCTTGAATTTATGCCACCTTAATGGATCCTTAAGCAGGATCACAGAACATATTTTCTAATGATGATCATTATCCCTTGGTTGAACTCACAGTTAAGAAATGGAATATTAAAAAGACATGGCCATTTTTTGGTTTTGAAGAAGCTGGGGGCAGGAGAGGAATAAAGACGCATATGTACAGAATGGACTTGAGGACACGGGGAGTGGGAAGGGTAAGCTGGGATGAAGTGAGAGAGTGGCATGGACATATATACACTACCAAATGTAAAACAGATAGCTATTTTACATTATATTCTCCATAGCAAATGGAGATCAGCTCAGTGCTTTGTGACCAACTAGAGGGGTGGGATAGGGAGGGTGGGAGGGAGACACAAGATGGAGGAGATATGGGGATATATGTATATGTATAGCTGATTCACTTTCTTATAAAGCAGAAACTAACACTCCATTGTAAAGCAATTATACCCCAATAAAGATGTTTAAAAAAAGAAAAAAAAAAGACATGCCCATTTTTAATGTGTGACCATACTGCCAACTACGCACTGGTGAAGTAATACAGATTTGCAAATGCTGAAATGAGGTAAGGCAGTAATGAATAAAAGACAGACACATAATGATTGAGGGGAAAAAAAGACGTCTTGGCAGTGACTTCCCCCAGAAGATCTAAGAATGCGAGTACTAGGTTAAGGCTCTTCTCTCCTAAAGAAAGATCAAAATGATAAGAACGCCAATAAAACCTAAGAATAAATTCATATATTTGATTAGATCACCACCCCTTGTCTGTGATTCTCCACCTCTATTTTAGAGGTAAAACCATCTATTTCCACAGTGTAAGGAGCCAATCTCTCCTGAAGAGTCCGTTAACTCTGCAAACAGAAGCAGGCTGTGCATACCAGTATTACCAGTTGGGAGCAGATGAGCACAGGTCCCAGCAAGCAGTTTCAACACAGCTGGTCCTTATTAGCTCTCTAGGTTGGACTTTGGACAAATGACAGGGACCCTAATCCTCAGAGAATCACTCTGATTTGAGGAAAAGATTTTAAGACTGATTCTGATCTAGAGGTTTTTCTCTCTCATATCTCTGGCTGCCTTGTTCCCAACAGGAAAGAAAAAATTGATACGACCCTTGCTTTGATCAAAGATTATTCAACTGGCTCGGTCATCTTCATTCAAAAAATGGGCCCTTTCCACCTAAAATGGAATGAAACCAAATAACTGCTATTAATTAAAACTACAGTACAACTAGTAACCTCAACATTTAGCCAAAGTTGAAATCTTGATTAGAAAATGGAGGGGGAAAAAAAAGAGAAACTCATTTAAAAAGTAAAAGACATACATAGGGCCTGTTGTGTTTAGAGATAAAATCAAGCAGTAAATGCTTTCATAATCCCACATCTGCCACAATTAGCTACTTTAAGCTATTCATAGTTCGCTATGAGGATTGTAAAACAGTTACAATAGTCCTGACAATAATAAGGGTTATATGAAGGTTAACTATTACTGTCAATCCATATCCAACCCTACTCTACCTATTCAAGAACAATACAACATACCAGATCAACTCCAAGAATATGCAGAAAAAGAATCCTCATTTTAAAACTGGAAATTGGATTAAATACTATAGTATTCAAGCTGTTCATAAAATTAGGCAGGATAAAGAGAAAAGAAAAATGTACAATGCTAATCGTCTAACACTGAATTTTAGAACCACAATAAATTTAAGGGAGAAAAGAGAAAATGAAATTGGGAGGTAAAAATAAATCATTCAAACAAATTTTAAGTAAATAAATAAAACTTTCCACTTTCCACAGTACCTTTAATAAGTCGGTACCACTGTTTGCAGACAAGGGCTGCAGTTTTGTGTTCCTGGTATGGTGAGAGAAAGGACAGGATATACTCCAAAACCTCTTCTGGCAGCTCAGACATGGACCTATTATGTCTAGTCTCCTCAGCCTCCAATACTGGGCGGGGCTCCTCATCTTGCTCCATTGTCCCTTCCAGCACAGTCTCTTCTTGGTCCACAGCCATGAAACTATCATCTTCACTGTCCGAGGAGCTGGCCATGACATTCCACTTGACAGCTACAGCGGGAAAGAAACAAACATCAGTATACACTGTCTGAAGTTCTGAAATAACTCAGGCAAGGCATCCAAGCTGTTCATGATTTCTTTTAGATGCTCAATCTGAAATCTGTCCTTTAGCACTTTCCCACACCAGTTGTGAGCCACCTTAATTTATCAAGTACAGCTCAAATACCAATGCCATCCCAAATATCTAATAAATCCCTAAAGGCTTCTGATGGTATTTTTTTCTCTCCACTGAAAACCAGAGTGACAGCCGAGTTCTGGTATAACCATAAAACCAAAAAACTTGTTCTCAACAACTCCTCTAACTCAAGGATCTGACTGGCAGACAGCAAAGGGAACAGCAACTAGCTTCCCTTGGCCAGTAATATGATTCAACACCTCAAACTTAGAAGAAAAAACTAACTGTGGGTCCTAAAAGAGTAAAAAGAACATTCTGAGGATATGGGAATAAGAAATGACAGGTTTTTTAGCTTTTATACAAGGTAATTCACTTAAGAGGACAATAAATATTTCAATAACAGGCTTAACTAGCTATAATACCAAACACAAGGCAATATTTATATTAGAAAACATCATAACAGATCCAAGGAGTGAAAAACTGGAAATAATACAAATGCCCACCACCAACAGAACAGGTAGATTGTGGTACATTCACACAACAGAATACTATACAGCAAGGAACCACAGATACACACATGGGTGAATCTCTTAAACATAATACTGAGCAAAGAAGACAAAATAGTACATACTACATGACCATGCTTATATCAAGTTCAAAACTAGGCAAAATTAATTTATGTTGTTGCAAGTGAGGATAGCGGTTACCAAAGGTAACGACTGGGAGGCTCCTGGGGTAGTGGTAAAGCTTCCTGATTGGGTGATGGTTACACAGATGTGTTCAGTTTGTGAAAAATTCACCCAGGTGAACACTTAACACACTTCTCTAAAGTTTACCAAAATAAGCCACTGTTAACAGTTACCTCTAGTGGAGATTAATTAATTTTTTAAAAAATATTATGGGTATTTTTAAATGTCTTTGTGCTACCTGTATTCCCTGAATTTTCTAGGAAGAGCACAAGTTAAAACACACACAGATGGACTTCCCTGGTGGCGCAGTGGTTAAGAATCCGCCTGCCAATGCAGGGGACATGGGCTCGAGCCCTGGTCCGGGAAGATCCCACATGCCGCAGAGCAACTAAGCCCGTGCACCACAGCTACTGAGCCTGCGCTCTAGAGCCCATGAGCCACAACTACTGAGCCCGCGTCTAGAGCCCATGCTCTGCAACAAGAGAAGCCACCGCAATGAGAAGCCTGCGCACCACAATGAAGAGTACCCCTGCTCACTGCAACTAGAGAAAGCCGCATGCAGCAACAAAGACCCAGCACAGCCAAAAATAAATAAATAAATAAATAAAACATACACAGAGGCAGGTAATTCATTTATACCACACCAGTGATGTTTCATGCAAATCCTGAGGTAAAAACAGTACAATGTTCAGGAAATAGGGTGATTTATGTAAGAAGTGTGTCACAGGTTAGATTCTAGAGGAAGCAGATGCTAAAATAAAATTAGGAATGAAAAAGGTTTAATGGGGAGAACTCTTACAAGAAAAGAATAGGATTTAGCAGGAGGAGCCATCAGACCATGAGGCAGATCTGACAAAGCCTGTCCAACAGAGAGCTCGGGAGCAAGGACGGCCAGCAGAGGACTCCAGAGCTGGACAAGAAGGTGAGGCTCTTAGATCACTGCTCTGCTCACCACCACTGCCTGCCCTGAGAAGAGCATGACCTTGTTTCCAATGCTGTGGCAGACCCTGAAAGGACTAACAGCTTTCTTTTGCTACATTCCTTACAAACAGGCAGCAAGTCATTTCTTGAAGGGGCATCTGAGTTCATTCTATAATTTGTTAATACATCTATTCCCTTGACCATACACACCTACCCTGATCATTCACTATGCCATCCACCTTACAAATTTCCAGCATTCCCTCCAGCACTAACAAGAAGGATAAGAAATAACAGGAAGAGAAGAGTGACCCTGAAATATACTTTGGGGCCTAGAGAAAGATCTGAAATGTTCCAAAAGGTGAGGGGCGGGGGTGCGAGGAGAGCAAAGAAAAGAAACCTCCAACCTCATCTCTACCGCTCCTGTAATTCACATACTAATTATGTACAGCATCTTAAAAACTGGAAGAATGATCACATTAAGAAAAACATGAGTCAAAACTCATGAAATTGCTCCCAACATAATTTATCCACAAAATTAGCTCATGATACTGCAATGTATCCTAGCAAAGTGGCTGCTAGAATCTTGATGATGATGAACAACGGGTGGCTAATTAGAAGTAGGGGAGGGACGTCCCTGGTGGCACAGTGGTTAAGAACCTGCCTGCCAATGCAGGGAACACAGGTTCGAGCCCTGTCCGGGAAGATCCCACATGCCACGGAGCAACTAAGTCCGTGCGCCACAACTACTAAGTCTGCGCTCTAGAGCCTGTGAGCCACAACTACTGAGCCCACGTGCCATAACTACTGAAGCCTACACACTCTAAGGCCTGTGTGCCACAACTACTGAGCCTGCGTGCTGCAACTACTGAAGCCTGTGTGCCTAGAGCCCGTGCTCTGCAATAAGAGAACCCATCGCAATGAGAAGCCCATGCACCGCAACGAAGAGTAGCCTCTGCTCGCCACAACTAAAGAAAACCCACGTGCAGCAACGAAGACCCAACGCAGCCAAAAAAAAAAGGTAGGAGAGTAGCCTAAATCCCCCTATCTGGGGGAAAGTGGTGGCGGCAGAGGGAGGGCAGCAGCAATTCCCTCCATTCCTCAAAAGTAGAGAAGTATTGTGATAGGTTCACTATAAACTGTGTTAAATAAAAAATCCTTAGCCACATCTGCCCTATTTTCAGTGAACTGTTTTTCCACATGCTTAACTTGCTAGAGGAAGGCCTTTCCATTTCTAGCCCTAACTCCTACCCTAAAAAGAACAGTTACATATCAAAATGACTATACTACCCAAGGCAATCTACAGATTCAATGCAATCCCTATCATATTACCAATGGCATTTTTCACAGAACTAGAACAAAAAATCTTAAATTTTGTATGGAGAAACAAAAGACCCTGAATAACCAAAGCAATCCTGAGAAAGAAAAATGGAGCTGGAGAAATCAGGCTCCCTGACTTCAGACTACACCACAAAGCTACAGTCATCAAAATAGTATGGTGCTGGCACAAAAACAGAAATATAGATCAATGGAACAGGATAGAAAGCCCAGAAATAAACCCACACACCTATGGTCAATTAATCAATGACAAAAGAGGCAAGACTATACAATGGAGGAAAGACAGTCTCTTCAATAAATGGTGCTGGGAAAACTGGACAGCTATATGTAAAAAAATGAAATTAAAACATTCTTTAACACCATACACAAAAATAAACTCAAAATGGATTAAAGACCTAAATATAAGACGGGATACTATAAAACTCTTAGAGGAAAACACAGGCAAACACTCTTTGACATAAATTGCAGCAATATCTTTTTTGAGCCATCTCCTAGAATAATGAAAATAAAAACAAAAATAAACAAATGGGACCTAATTAAATTCAAAAGCTTTTGCACAGCAAAGGAAACCATAAACAAAACGAAAAGACAACCCACAGAATGGGAGAAAATATTTGCAAACTATGCAACAGACAAGAGATTAGTCTCTCTCCAAAATTTAAAAACAGCTCATGAGGCTCAATAGCAAAAAAACAAACAACCCAATCAAAATAAGGGCAAAAGACCTAAATAGACATTTCTTCAAGGAAGACATACAGATGGCCAAGAGGCACATGAAAAGATGCTCAACATCTCTAATTATCAGAGAAATGCAAATCAAAACTACAGTGAGATAACACTTCACACCAGTCAGAATGGTCATTATTAAGAAAAAAATCTATAGGGAATTCCCTGGTGGTCCAGTGGTTAGAACTCTGTGCTTTCACTGTCCAGGGCCCGGGTTCAATCCCTGGTCAGGGAACTAAGTTCCTGCAAGCTGCACGGCACAGCCAAACAAACATATCTACAAATAATAAATGCTGAAGAGGGTGTGGAGAAAAGTGAACCCTCCTACACTGCTGGTGGGAATGTAAATTGGTACAGCCTATGGAGAAGAATATGGAGGTTCCTTAAAAAACTAAAAATAGAGCTACCATATGATCCAGCAATCCCACTCCTGGGCATATATCCAGAGAAAAACATGGTTCGAAAGGATACATGCACCCCAGTGTTCACTGCAGCACTGTTTACAATAGCCAAGACATGGAAACAACCTAAATGTCCATCGACAGATGAATGGATAAAGATGTGGTACAATGGAATATTACTCAGCCATTAAAAAGAATGAAATTATGCCATTTGCAGCAACATGGATGGACCTGGAGATTATCATACTAAGTGGAGTAGGTCAGATAGAGAAAGACAAATATCATATGATATCGCTTGCATGTGGAATCTTAAAAATAATGATACAAATGAACTTATTTACAAAACAGAAACAGACTCACAGACTTAAGAGAATGAATTTATGGTTACGGGGGGAGGGGGGAGGAGGGATAGATTGGGAGTTTGGGACTGACATGTACACACGGCTATATTTAAAACAGATAACCAACAAGGACCTACTGTCAGGGAACTCTGCTCAATATTGTGTAATAACCTAAACGGGAAAAGAATTTGAAAAAGAATAGACACATTTATATATATTACTGAATCACTATGCTGTACACCTGAAACTAACACAACATTGTTAATCAAATATACTCCAATATAAAATTTCTAAAAATCTTTTAAAAAAGAGTACAGAAAACAATAAAAATAATTAGAATTTTTCTGGCCCCTCTCCCACAAAAGTGCCTTTTTCTACTGGAAAAAATATCACTTCCCACAATCCTTCTTACTCTTTCCCCTGCAAGTTATCATTTTTCATCTCCCATTGACCATATTCCTTT